GGGCTACCTTTTGATTGACAGGTAGTTCTCAGTCTGTCCAGCGCAGTGCAGTGCTCCAAACTCAGATCAAACTGTCAAACTAGGCAGTGCAGATCAGATACAAAGCTAGATTTTTTTTTTGTGTATTTTTGGGGGCTTTTATCGCCTTTATGATAGTGACAGCAGAAGACTTCGATTCGAACTCTTGGCCGCTGCAGCAAGGAGTCAGCCTCGGTACATGGGGCCAGCTCTACCAACTGAGCTAACCGGGCGCCTCAGAAACATATTTTAGGGTACTGTTTAGCCGTTATACGAGATTGTTTGTGACCAGGCAAGCCGCCATTGTTTCCGGCTACGGACGAGTCAAAATTGAGCGTAGATCAACTCGCAGTACGTCACCTCAGCTGGCTCGTGCTGGCTCCTTTTTACTGTCATGGTGGCAGCCAAAACGCTGAACTCGAGGCTTCAAAACGGTTCTCCACAAACCAATGATAGGTTCACACTTGGTCAGTGGCCAAGACAACAACTTTAAGTGGATGTAGTTTGGTGGACGCATTTGTTCCTAAGGATCAACACTAGCTTACGTTGCAGCCATTGTAGTCCTTTTCGCAAATATTTTCACATGTAACTCGGTGAATAAAGTGTTTATTTTGACCAAACCAGAGTTGGTGATTGTTGGAAATTCTGTGGAAAGAGTAACAAAGTCAGTTTTGGTGAGTTTTATCTTATATATATTTAACATGTGTTCCACAATTATCTGCTTGATAAAATTACAGATTTTATTAGTGGTTATTATTTATTAGTCTGGTCAGCTGTAGTGCCCATTGTTTCGGTCTGAGATGCTGGTTCTCTAGTGGCAGTGAATTTCATATATATAACCTATAATCAACTTGACACATTATTCTTTCGCTATGTTAACTAGGGCTGTGTATTGGCAAGAATCTGGTGATACGATACGTATCACAATACACGGGTTGCGATTCTATATATTACAACATGGAACTGAATTAGTATTTATCTCTTTAACATCCAACATCATAACTCTCAGGTTACTTTTACAATACTGCTATCTAGCGGTTGAGGGTTTAAACCCAAAAATCAATACACTATTTTTGTGAATCGATAAGATATTTTGTGATAATTGCTTACACTCCCCATGACTTTAGCTGTTGGCTTTTTTACATCCTGATGTAATCATCTGATTGTCTGCCTGTTTGTTCCCCCATCTGACTTTACTTCAGAGATGTTGCTGTGTTTCCAGATTTCTGCAATTTCACCAGCCTACTTAGAAGAGTACAATGTTGTTATAACTAACAGAAATAATGTCCAAAACTAAATAATAAAGTAAGACCCAAAGGTGTAATACTCAGAACATGTTACCTTCAGTACTTCTTTGGCTCTTTCGTAGGGGTCTGAGGCATACAGCTCAATTTTGGACAGTGTCACATTGGGATAGCTGCAAGAAATAACATGGTATTTACATCAGATGCACAAAATAAAACTGTCATGTTGTATTAGTCATAGTATCTTTGTGAGAGTATGTTTTAATGCTAAAAAAAAGAAATCTAATCCATATATATTAAACTATTAAAAAGTGGTCTATGTTTGAGATTTGCTTTATGCGTTCACTGGATATTAGATACTGTCCTAAAATAAGAGTCAGATAATTCATCACATGCAAAATCATCAAATGTTTGATTATTTGATTACAAGTTTGTATATTGCATTGACATCCTCTGGTACACTAGTTTTTCCAGAGGTAAATGAGCTAAAATATGCTTGTTAAGCTAGAGTTCTTGCCATAAACCTGTAACCACTGCCTTTCTTGGAAGGTGAGGTGACAATGTTGCGTCCGGGTGGGCGATGAGCTTTCTGGGCGACCGACTGTGGACTCATGGCTTCAACTGGTCCAGACAGAGTCCCATAGTAACTACCTGAACCACAGCTGGAGGCAGAGATTATGTGACAGTGAGAAAGAGTTGTAAATACACTCTGTAGACATTTTCTTTAATGTTTGTGCACGTGTTCTCTCACGGCTTCTTGACCCCATGGCAGGGCATGAAGGCCTTGCCCAGGTTCTTCTTGGACTGCTGGATGCGGTTCTGTCGGGCCAGTCTCAGCGGGTCACTCAGCGCTTCACGTTCAAATATCCGGTTGAAGGACTTGTCGAAATAGCCACTCTGCAGAGCACATCGTTGCTTAGCGATGCCCGCTTGCATCTGCCGGCTATGATAGGCTGACTCATTGAACGGACCTGCATTTGTAAGGAAGACATCACATATTTACATATATACCCTCCACTGTTATTGATAATGATCTCTATAGTACATGGCTGCTCGTCATAAAGTCCAGATTGGCTTTCTAGATGTTTCTAGCAAAATGATAATAATTTTTAAAAGTTACTATAGTTACTATAAATCACTGTTCATGCTGTTTTATGTTTTGTGACATAAAATGCTCTTTAAATATGTAGGAATGCTAAATATTAATAGTTAGTTAGTTAGTTATTAAAGCACAGCGGGCAGAGTGACGCTTCGTGCAGGAAGTCAGTCATTTAAGAGAACTTTGAACCCCGGTACCATTTTCCATCTTAACAAAATAATGTTTTAGGTGTTTTAGGGGTGTAAAGATTTATTGATACAAGTTGGGAAATCGGTTTTAACTTCATAGATGCAACTATATCGGATGGATCTAAATGTACCATGAACTGGTTGATGGTCTGAACACCAGGGTCTCGCAACAAGAATAACATTAGTGCAGCGAGGCTCGCAAGGTTGGTACATAAACAAATATGTCTGACAACGGCGATATGATTTACAGTGCACCGTCAAATCTAAAATCTAAAGGTTGGAAGACATTCCAAGGCTGAGGGCAGCGGCTCAGGGTTCGAATCCGACCTGTGGCCCATTGCTGCGTGTCATCCCCTCTCTCTGCCCCCCTTTCCTGTCTGTCTCCAGCTGTC